CCGGAAAATAATTTATCCATAGTTTGTTCTAAGGACGATGTCAACACCCCATCAGCCATTTATATGTTCTTAGGGCGATAGTTATATATCGGCCACACCTTTTCTTAGGGCGATAGTTATATATCGGTCATATCTTTTCTTAGGGTGATAGTTATATATCGGTCGTTGCCTGTCTAGGCTTCTTGCCACACACTTGAGTGGTACTTCTTTAAATATTTGCTATTGAGAGCTCGAGGTAACAATGTGTCTTGTATAGATTCCACAAAATATGAGTTTCCGGTAACTATTCTTGTAATCCTAAAAGGACCTTCCCAACTTGGAGACCACTTCCCAAATTTTCTATCTTTTGAACCAATTGGTAGAATCACCTTCCACACGAGATCGCCAACTTGAAAATTCTTCAAATTGACATTTTTATTGTAAGCTCTTGCTACCCTCAATTTATCTCTTTCTGTGGCCTTCAAAGCAGCCAAACGTTTATCGGCAACTTCATCAATATTGTCCATCATCATGTTATAAAAGTCCACCGTCGATAAATCATTTTGTTTGGCTATTCTCAAATGATTCAAATTCACTTCCACTGGTAAAACGGCCTCTTGACCATATACGAGCTCATATGGAGTTACATTTGTAGCACCATGCCTTGAGATTCTGTGTGCCCATAGAGCTTCAGACAATAGCTCATGCCATCTCCTTGGATTATCCTCGATCTTCTTCTTGATGAGCTTGATTAATATCTTATTACTAGACTCAGCTTGTCCATTGGCTTGAGCATAATATGGAGAGGAATTGAGCAACTTTATCTTATATGATTCGGCAAATTCTCTAACTTGGTGTGATATAAAGGACGAACCTTGGTCCGTAGTTAATGTTTGAGGAATATCGAATCTATGAATAATATGCTCAGTTATGAATTGAATTACCTTTGTATGCGTCATATTTTTGAGTGGTATTGCTTCAGACCATTTAGTGAAATAATTAGTCGCCACCAACACGAACCAATGCCCCTTTGAAGAACAAGGATGAATCTCTCCAATAAAGTCTAATCCCCAACCTCTAAAAGGCCATGGCTTCATAATAGGATGTAACATGGCAGCGGGAGCCAACTGAATATCACCAAACTTTTGACAAGTTCACATCCTTTATAATACCGGAAGCAATCATTAACCATCGTCAGCCAATAAAACCCAGCACGTCGTAATAGCCATTTCATCTTGGGAGCCGCCTGATGAGCGCCACGAATACCTTCATGGACCTCTCCCATAGCAACTCTCGCTTGGTCCTTGTCCAAGCACTTTAAAAGAACATCATCAACCGTTCGGTGATAGAGACCATCATCTCTCATTGTGTATTTGAAAGCCACACGCCGAACAGTCATGTCCACCCTTTTACTAGGATCACACAAATAATCAATAATGGGTTTCCTCCAGTCTTGATTTTCTCCTGCATTAAATATTTTATTAGTGGCCGAAACGGTGGGCTTCAGTTCGGCCTCCCCTATGTTGGAAAGAGTAGACATCGGCCTTTGAGAAATATGAAACATGCCATGATCCACATGATAGCCGGATGCTTGTTGTGCCAACTCATTTGCTCTCCAATTGTCATGTCTAGATATATGAGCAATGCTAAAATAATCCAAAGTAGATATTATATCTAGACATTTATCAAGATAAACACTAAGTGATTCGTCAAAACATTGAAAAACTTTGGATATTTGTTGCACTACTAATAACGAATCACCAAAAGCCTCAATATGTGTAGCACCTATGGCAAGCAACATCTCTAAGCCGAATAACAATGCTTCATATTCGGCTTGATTATTTGTGCAAAAATATTCTAAGCGGCATGAGGCCTCGAAAACAGGACCATGAGGAGATATATAAATAATACCAACACCTTGGTCATTGCTACAAACTGAACCATCAAAATATAATCTCCATGGTACTAACGAGACAAGTTTATATCACTATCATGCTTGTCATCAATCCGATGCTTAACAATAAAATTAGCAACGATTTTGCCTTTCATGGATTTCAGAGATTCATAAGCCAAATCATATTCAATTAAAGTATAAGCCCACTTGCCAATTCTACCACTAAGAATTGGCCTATGCAACATGTACTTGATGACATCGGTTTGACAAGCTATAATGCAAGTACTAGGCACTAGATAATGTCTCAATTTTGTACAAGCATAATACAAGCATAAACATGATTTCTCAATAAATGTATACCTTGTCTCGGCGTCCAATAAGAGTCGGCTCAAATAAGTAATAACATGCTCCTTTCCTTCGGTCTCTTGAGTTAAAATAGCACCAATAACACCTTCTTCTGCTGCAATATAAAGCCTAAAGGGCTCTTTATGTTTGGGAGCTTTCAAAACTGGAGGAGTGCATAAATAATTTTTGATCATGTCAAATGCTTCTTGTTGTTTTCCCCCTCAAGTAAAATTAGTTTCATTCTTTAACCGAAGGATGGGAGTGAATGCGTCAACCTTCCCTCACAAGTTGGCTATGAATCTTCTCAAATAATTGACTTTGCCAAGGAATTTTTTGCATATCTCTCTTGCATGTTGGAGCCTCTACCTTTTGTATAGCTTATATATTTTTGGGATCAATTTCTATGCCATCTTGATGAATAATGAAACCCAAAAACTTTCCAGCCGATACACTAAAAGCACACTTTAAAGGATTCGTCTTTAGTCCATATTTTTTCATTCTCTCAAAAGCTAAGCGCAAATCGGCTAGATGAGATTCAAAAGCAGCCGATTTGACAACATTATCATCAATATAAACCTCAAG